AAACCTGCCAATCCAGTGAAACACAGATATTACCCATAATTTAGGAAAGAGGAGAGCAGACAAAATGGAGAAGAGGAAGGACTATTCCTCCAAGAGGTTGTTGGAAAAATGCAGATAATTACATAGGAAGCTCTGCAAACAGTGCCTGGGATAAATTAAGTGCTTAACAAATATCTGTTCTTTTTTTCTGCTTTCTCCACTAAAGTCTAAAGTTTAGGATGTACTATGAACTTTACTAAATGTTGCATGGGTCAAATGTATCCTTCCTGGATTGCAAACAGCCCATCCAGGCACATGCTAAGAATTCAGTGAAATGACAAAAATCAGGTATAGAGCCAGCCACTTTGACTTTCTAAGAATGTCCATGTAGGGCCGGGGATTTAGCTCAGTGGTGCTGCCACCTGCCTCGAAAATGGAAAGTTTCAAGTTTAATCCCAGGTACTAAAAAAAAAAAGAATGTCCATGTCTTTTTTCAAATACATTATTATTGTAAAAGATGCCTTCATCTTCACAGTTTCCTCATTAAAAATAATTTTCATGTGTTCATTTCTCAACTACCGTTCTACTAGTTTTTTTCCATAGTATGTAATTTGAAGCAAATGTCAAACATGTAACTTTCATTTATAAATAGTTCTCTATACATTCTCAACAGATAAGAACTTAAAAAAACACAACACTGTGATCTCACCTAGAAAGTGAATAATGATTCCTTAATATTTTGCAGTTTTCCCAGTTCTCTCAAAAATGTCTTCTTAGAGTTGCTTTGCTTGGTTATACTTCCCCTGATTTTAAATTCCATTTCTCTTGTTTTCCCTCTCCTATTGCCTTTCCTCCTTCTCTATTTTCTCTATTCTACAAAATATTTAAAGACTCTTTCAAAGACATATTATATATGTAAAATGGTGAAACAAATTAACTTTAAAGTAATTGATAAAACATGACAAAGTGAATACAAGAAGAAAAGACAGATGGATCCAAGATTGTGGTGAGGACTATGAAGTTCCACCATGAAGCTATATGTGCCTTCCCCGGAAGCCATGCATTTTCTCTGAGCTTCCTAGCAGGACTACAAAGAGAGATATGTGCAACTGTGAAAATTAGAGTTGATAACACATAATACAATTGTGCAGGAGCAGCATGACCTGAGAGATGTTTCCCCATGGTTTCTGAAAAAGTCAATAATAACTAATCTGAAAAATCATGTTCTCCATAGTAGCCTTGAAGAAGAAGAGCAAGGGGTTTCATAAAGATTTTTAAAAAATCACATCCTGAGTATTCATTCTCCTGCTACTTGTGTTAATCAAGTCCCTTATAGCAAACATTTCTTGGAGTTCATGAATGTATACTCAGGTTTGTGTAGCAGTTGCTGGCTGATCTTACCTAAGAGCTCACCTCATTCAACCCAGATATCCTGAATAGCCCTGCTAGTCTAATTTTCCCCAGGAACCACTTTCACCCTATTGCTCTCTTATTCAAGGATCTTCAGTAGTTCCATATTAGCCTCTGAAAGTTTAAGTTTCTCTCCTCCACTTTCACTGTCATTTTGAAAAAGGAAAATTTGCTCAAGAGTTGCAAACTCTGAAGAAAATGAGATCATTGAATGGCTTGTGGATTTAGTGACTGGGAGGTCATGATGTTTCTAAAATATACCTGGGGGTGAATGTAGACTTAAATTTAGGGCCATGATGTTTAGCACTTAAGTTGTTCTTTGGTTGTTGTAGATGGGCTTTAGCTTTCTGAACCCACTGGCTAGGTTCCAGTCTTAGACATGTCACTTACCACTTGGAACAAGTTCCTTAAGCCTGTAGTGCCTCAGTTTCTTCACCTATAAATCGGAAATAATGTAATGAGACCTCCTAGGAGGTACTGTCGGGGAGATTGAATGAGCCAGACAGAGAAGTGCCACGTCAGGGTTAGCTATGCACTCTGTTGGAATGAGCACAATGCCTCTTTGTAGCAAGCCTAGCATTTCTTCATATTCTGACAGCTACGTCTCTTTTATTTTCCAAATATTTTCTGCCACTATTTATTTAAAAATCACTGAAAAGAACATTTTAGGAAAGTAAAGCAAGGGAAAAAAGTTTTTTGTTTTTTTTTTAACTTAAAAACTAGATAACATGAGCTAAGAGAGAATTATAATTTAATTCACTGGAGTTCTTTAAAAATGCATAAACAATGATAAACTTTCAAAGGCTTCAGGGCGTAACTCTTCCTAGGAACCATTTGTTCATGATACTCAACAATGGGGAGCTTTTTCTGAAGTTATCACAGGTCTTGCTTTGAGGTGCTGTATTTTTAGATTTGAAGTATAATAGAGACCCTAGCTATAATAGAGACACCAGCAGGAGGTTGCTCCGCCTCAGGGCCCTAGGCATTTCCATCAGCAATAAAAATGCAAAGAAGAGCCTCAAACTATATTGTCTGAAGCTCCTTTTATACTCAGCCACCGTCCATGTTTCTCAAATCATCTTTCATCAGATCATATTATTTAGGAAATGCAGTTTTAGAAGAAATGGATCCCGAATCTTTCCTTGGGTACATGAAATTCATCAGCAAAACGGTAGAGTCAAAGTATCTGGCCTCATCTTTCTGAAACCCAAGGAAAATAACTATAATAGAACTAGAAGAGATAATAAACATGAAATTTGAAATCACCCCAATTTCCAAGAAGTGCAAGAAGGGAGGCTTCACAGTAGAGCTCAGAACCACAGTGCTGTCTGAAGCAACTGTCCCTTCCAGGGAGTGACACCCTTGGCCATGTAGAACAGTGGGCTCTGAGGAGGAACACAAACTTCAAGGCATTCCTGAACCTTAGAGAGGATGCAAAACTGAATGAGAGAGAGAGAGACAGGCCATCTTTGCTAATGGGCAGCAAGAAACAGTGGGCAGTTGACCTTGCAGCTGAAGGGAAATAACTGTTAAATCACTCCTTATTGATCAGCACAGCAGGCCAGCGCTACTTCTTCCTGCCAAGAGGTGAGACAAGAACATGAGACAGAGAGAATACAAGCTGATGGTGGATTCTGCTCACTTCCCTGCCCTCTCAGCCATATCATTCTAAAAAAACCCAAAAACCATAAGAATCAGTCTCCATAAAGCAATGAGCAATCTCATAAAAAGATGAGTAGTCATGGGAAAGGAGTTCACTTGGAACATAACACAAATATATTGCAAGAAAAATAAACAGCAAGAATATGACAAAAAGTAGATTAACATTTCAAAAAGTTATGCCATAACCTAGATAAAAATTGTAAGGAACATTTTTCCATTAAAATGTATAAAAATGACTTTTATGAAGCAATAATTAACAGGAGAGCTATACTAACTCAAGTAAGAAGTAATTAAATTACTGAGAGTGATTTTTTTTTTTTAAAAAGAATTTACAGGGTTCTGGAAAAGAGAAAAGAAAAAAAGTAATTACAGAGAAAATTAACACTATAAGTTAAAAAAGAAATAATGTTTGAAATAGGGCATATATAAAGAGAATACAGTTGGAAGAAAGAGGAAAATACTGTAAATATAAAAAAACAGATATTTAAAATGATCAGTGAGAAAATAATAGATATGGAAGACAGGAAAAAGAACCTCAACTTTCCTATGAATGAGTGTCCTTATTAGAAGAATTAGAATAAATATTCAAATATAACACATTAAATATTTCTTCAATAAATAAGACCTAAATCCATACTTTGAAATGAACTCAGATGTTTCAAAGAAGAGGGGAAAAAAATAAGCAAAATCAACACTGAGACATAGCTTGGTAAAGTTACTAGACTTCAAAGATGAGTAAGAATCTGGGCCTAAAAAAATCAAAGTTACAAGAAGAAAAACTTAAGTTTGGCCTCAGAGATCTTCATAGGAATATTAACAGGTGGAATATAGTAAAAAATGTTTTCAAGTCCTAAAAAATATGTGGCCCAAGATTTTTCTACTTAGTCAAATTTTTGTTTGATATTTCCAAACATGCCAAAAGTCAGTAAAAAATTATTTATGTGTTCTTTCTTAAAATTCACAGTAAACTTAAAGATATCAATCAAAAGATGAAGAGAGTAGGTACAGTGGTAATGAGGGTAAGTACTGAATTTATCAAATAATAGAATAAGACTAAACAATTGGAGGAATTGTGATTGGAGAATAGAATATAATATAGAAATAATCACAGCAAAAGAAGTAAAAAATGAGAGGTAAAGAGAAGGAAAAAAGTCAGTGTAAATATGAGCACCTTATCCTTTGTAGCATGATTTCCAAATCTTCTGCTTACATGATAAAGCACATAGTAGAGATGTTAGTGTATTATTGAAAAGTATTAATAATACAATAACCCATAATTGGGGAGTATAGATTACACCATGAAATAAATGTAAATGTGGGTTTTTTTCTCATTTTTCATTGTGATGAGTCATCAGAGACTATGTAAGAAAGGTAAAAATATGACAAATTAGTACATAAAAGTATAAAGGTGATCATGAAAATATCCTAAAAATAGACTATAAACCTTCAGCACTATTTGAATGAAAAAAAAAAAACACTAATAAACCAAAGACCATTTTATGTAGGAAAATAAATATCTGTGTGTCTTACATTTCCTTGTTTTTAATTTGTATGTGTATAACATTGTGGAGAAAAAATGTAACCAGGGATGATTCAATTATAACTAAACATTTCTCTTATATTAAAAAATGTAAATCTATTGAGCAAGATTCCAAGCTTGAATTGGAAAGCATAATTCCAACATATGCTATGCACAGACACAGATGGTTAAATGTTTGCCAGGTAAATACAGCAGAAATAAGTAGGTCTCCTGATTTAAAGTTTGTTGCAATAGTCTGAATGTGCATCTCACCCCATTCATATGCATAAAGGTAACCTCCAGGGTGATAGTATTAAGAGGTGGACCCTTTAAGAGGTGATGAGGTCATGAGATCTCTGTCCCTCTGAATGGGACAGGTGAGCCTGTAAAAGTGACTTGAGGTATCCTTTTTGTCCTCTGCCATGTGAAGACACGTATAGGATGACATCTGTGAGGAAGGCTCTTGAGATACTGAATCTGCTGGTTAATGTTGGACTTCTCAGTCTCCAGAACTGTGAGCAATAAAGTTTTGTTGTTTATAAATTATCCAATCTCAGATATTTTGTAATAACAGCCTGAATGGGCTAAGGTATTAGTTCAGGGTGAATTAAAGAAAAAGTATTAGAGATAAATAACATTTTACAAGGAAAAAGATATAATCCATAATGATCTAATACATATGAATAGATATTAAATGTACAAGCATTTAGATTCATAAATCACAAGCTACTGGAAATATAAAGAGAACTAAGGAAGAAAATGCTGGCATAAGAGTTTTTTACTGGTACATGTTTGCCGTAAAATGATCACATTCATCATAGAGAATTTGTACTTGTACATAATATATCTTAATTCTTTTCTTCCCATTCCCTTCTCCTCCCTTCAGCCCTTCTTCCCCTCCCCATTTACAAAAATTTTGTTTCCATTTTGTTTCTTCCACTCTCTTTTTTAAAAATCTCTTTTGCATTCCTTTCCTTCCCCCTCACTCCTCCCTAGTTCCTCTTCCCACTTGAACATGCTCTTCCTACTTCCCAATATCTGTCCTCTAGTTTGCTCTTTATTTACCCTTTGGGTTTCTCACACAAAAGAAACAATGCAATATTAAAACTTGTGTGTCAATTTATTTCACTTAAAATTATGGTCTCAAGGAGCATCTGTTTAGCTAGGAATGTCTCAAGTTTTTCCTTCTTTATGGCAGAGTAGTACTTCATTGTATAAAAAAACCACATTTTCTTTATACTTTCATCCATTGACAGGCATATGGGCTGCTTCCAAGATTTGGCTATTATAAATTGTGCTGCTATCAACATGGCTATTCATATATTACTGTGGTGTGATACACTTAACTCTTTCAGAGAGCTACCTAGAAAGGGAATAGCTGGGTCAAATGGAATCTTTACTTTCAGTTTTTTGAGGAATCACCATACTGATTTTTATAGTGGTTATACCTATTTACACTCCCATGAACAAGAGAAAGTGTTTCTTTTTCCCCACAGCCTTGGTAGCATTTGTTATTGGTTGATTTCTTGATGATAGCCATTCTTTCTGGAGTAAGATGGAATTTAAGTGTTGTTTTAATTTGTGCTTCTCAAATGACCAGTGATGTTGTATTTTTCATATATTTATTTGATGTTCATATATCTTCATCTGAGAAGTGTCTATTCATTTCAGATCCCCATTTTTGGATTTAAAGACCTGAGGATAAATGGAACAGAATAGAAGATGCAGAAAGAACTCAAAACACACTCAGTTACCTTATCTTTGACAAAGGGTCGAAACATCTTCACTGGAAGAAAGATAGCATCTTTAAGACATTTCTCAGACAAAGAAGTAGAAGAAGCATATAAACATATGAAAAAATGTTCAACATCACTGGTCATCCAAGAGATGCAAATGAAAATAACACTGAGATTCCACCTCACTCCAGAAAGAATAGCTGCTATCAAGAAATCAACAAAAACAAATACTGGCAGGATTGTAGGAAGAAAGGAACCCTTCTCCATTGTTGGTGGGAGTGCAAACTGGTGCAACCACTGTGGAAATTAATATGGAGATATCTCAAAAAATTAGGATTAGAGGTCTATAAATTTTCTTGGTAGGACCGTTTTCATTGCATCCCTTATGTTCTGTTATGTCATATTGGCATTATAGTTTAATTATGGAAACTATCTAATTTCTTCTTTAATTTCATCTGTGACCCATTGGTTGTTCAGAAGGATATTATTTAATTTCCATGTCTTTATGCAGTTTTTGTGGTATCACTTGCCATTGATTTCATCAATTTCATTACATTGTGATCTGACAATATGCATGGGATAATTTCAATTTCTTTGTATTTACTTAAGCATGTTCTATGAGCTAGTATGTTTGGCCTATTTTGGAGAAATACCCATGTGTTGCTGAAAAAAATATGTATTCTGTTGTTGTGGGCTGGAATGCTCCATAGATACCTACTACATCAAAAGTTTGGCTCGAAGGTTTGGCTCAAAGTTTTGGTTTAGCTCTGATAATTTTTTGTTGATATTTTATCTAGTTGATCTATTTGTGACAGTGAGGTAAGATCAAATGTATTAGTATTCATTGGGTTTTCTCATATTCATTAGTGTTTGTTTTATATAGTTGAATGTGCTTATTTGGTACATATATCTTTATGATTATCTCTTCCTGTTGGATTGTTCCCTTGAGAAGTACGTAGTGACGTTTTGGCTCTTCTAATCAGTCTTGGCTTGAAATCCACTTTGTCTGCCAATAGAATAGCTACTCCTGCTTTTTTCTGGGTTTCTGCTGCATGGAGTGTTGTTTTTCATCCTTTAACTTTCAGTCTATGAATTTCTTTTTGAGTTAAATGTGTTTCTTTTTTGCAGCATATTGTTGGATCTTGTTTCTTGACCTATTCTGCCAATGTGTTTCTTTTGAATGGTGAGATGAGACCATTCACATTGGTGGTTATAACTGATAGGTATTGACTGATTTATCCTTGTTACTATATTATTTTTCTGTTGTTGATTCCCTTTCTTTCCCTTCTCTTCAATTGCTTGCCTTGCCTAGTAGAGTCAATGTATTGGGATTTTTGGAATTGTTGTCTTCATTGTTTCTTTCTGGAATATCCTTCAGAACTTTTTAGAGTGTTGGTTTGGTGAGTATGAATTTCTTCAGGTGTTCTTCATCATGGAAGTATCTTATTTCTCCATCAATTTGAAAGACAATTTTTCAGGGTACAACAGTCTTGTTTGGAGGTTGTTTTCTTTTACACCTTGAAATATTTCACTCCAAGCTCTCCTTGACTTAGGGTTTGTGTTGAAGAAGTCTTATGAGTTTCTGATGGGTTTTCCTTTATAGATGATTTGTTTCATTTCCTTAATAGCTTGTAGTATTCTGTTCTTGTATTTAATTTCTAGAATCTTGACTATATATGCCTGATATATATATATATATTATAATCATGACTATTTGAAGTTCTGATCCCTCACTTATCTATGTGTCTCAAAATTTTTTCCATGCTTAGAAAGTTTTCTGCTGTTACTTCTGTGAACAAATTTTTTATCTTTTATATTATCTTCTGATTTTTATTGATTCCAATTAATTTTATATTACTTCTCTTTGCATCATCTAGCAGCTGTTGGATTGATTTTTCATAGCCCCTTACTATTTTTAAGAAGTCACTTACTTGATGATCACCAATTGCAACACTGTCTTCTAGCTCTGATAGTCTATCTTCACATTGGTTGATTCTGATGGACATACTTTCAATAGAATTTTTAATCTCTGGGATATCTGTTTGAATCTGTTCTATAGCCAGTTCTTTCTCATGTTGGGCATTCATGGTTTCCATGTCTTTCTTAAGCTCCTCTATTTTCTAAAATCTGTATCTATGCTAGATTTACTAACCGTTTCCTTCATTATGGTCATCATCACTTTAATTATCTGTAATTATTTCTCTTTTGGTTTTGTCTAGAGACTTATTCATGTGCTATTTTATTTCTGCTACTACTACTTCAGAAAATTCAGTTTGTGGTATTAGGTAATAGTAACAGAGATGACTAACTGTGAAAAGGATAAATAATAAGGAGTAGAGATTAAACTAGAGGAAAAGAAAATAAGAAAAAATGCTAAGGGAACAAGTTGAAAGAGGGGAAGGGAGAGAGAGATAAAAAGGAAGGCACATTCAAACAAATAAAATAAAGTAATATTAAAAAGAGGGGAGGGCCAGGGATTTAGCTCAGTGGTTTCGCTGCCTGCTGAGCAAGCATAAGGACCCGAGTTCGATCCCTGGTACCAAAAAAAAAAAAAAAAAAAAGAGGAGAGCACAAGAAAATGGGTGGTAAAACTCCATCCTCCATCAAAAGAAAAAAATATAGTGAAAAACCAAGACATGGGGAGAGAGAGAGAGAGAGAGAGAGAGAGAGAGAAGTTCCTATGTATTTCCAGAGGAGTGTTTTCTTCCCAGCCCAGCAGTCCTTAATCTTAAAAGTCACTTTCCTCTTTGCCCCTCTTTATAGTCTGTGAGTTTGTATGGAGGTTACTAAGTTCAAGGGGACCTCTCTCCATAATTCCATTTGTGGGAGCTGTTCAAGCTGGGCAATCAGACCAGGAACGATATGGGGCCTTTGTTCTGAGGCTCCTGTCATGGATTCCTGCTGGCTGGGGACCGATACTGGTTATCCAATGTGTATTCTAGTGTCCATGGGCAGGCTCCTGACACCATGCAGAGCCTTGTGTGGATTTGGGATGCACAGAGGAGAAAGAAATTTGCCCAAGATTAACATGGGGAGATTTCTGCAGGCCCAGTGAAGGCACAGGGCCCTGGGTAGTGTCTCATAGATATCTGGAGTGCTGGGAAGAACAGATAGGCCTTTAACCCTTGCTGCTTAACCAGGCAGAGGGCAGGCCTATTGCATTAGGCAGGGAGTGTGCCCAGGACTCTGGTCGAATGCAGGCTGGAGACTCTGCTGTACTCAAAGTGGAGGCAGTCTACCTAGTGTTGAATGGGTGCTGCTACAGTCCAGGTGTACAAGGTGGAGATTTACACTAGATTCAAACACCCTGTGTAAACCCAGATTGCTCCAGTATTGGTGCTGGAGGTCAGACAGAAACTCTGGCAAGCCTAGGATTGGAGCAGGGCAGTGAAAACCTGGGGTACTGAATACTGACTCAAACCAGACCAGTGTTAGCTTTGTGTGCTGGATGAATGTCCCAGTTTGCATGACAGCCTCGCAGTGGTGACTCAGGTATGCCCAGGGTCCAATATTGAAGACTCCCATCACAAGTGCCCATCACTTATTTTTTCCCTCAGGGTCTAAGAATGAATGGGTAGGTGGGGAGGGAGCAGCTCCCATCCCTGGACACTTGCTCCTGGTTTGTGTGGGAGAAGATGTTGTCAGGCTGCAGCCTCCTCCTTTTTTGGAGAGGGAACAATGAGGTGAAGGGCTCATGTATGCCAAGTCTATCCTGTGTGGCTAGACTCTGCCACTGTTTGAATTGTGCCAGCTATTTGGGAGCTTCTCACAATGGCTG